CTGGCACTTTATACTGGGATGCTGCATTCTCATGACATAATGCCATCCCATCTACCATGTGATGCAAGATTACAACAAGAACACTAGAGCAATGCCATGGTGGTATGTCACAATTCTTCTGTGGCGCATTCAGAGTCCAAATGAAGCAACTATTCTTCTCATTCCTCCCCACTTCCTAGGTTCTTCGAATATCCACATCCAGCAATGAAAGGCACTGAAATACTCTTGTAGATTTGGGCTCTGGGCCCCGAAGCATTTAAAAATCAGCATTCCCTCAAGACAATCTGTTACAAAGAATGGAGATGGCTGACTGATCATACCCGATTCAAGTATGAGCAAGAAACAAAAAATAATAATAAAAAACAGACATGGCAGAAACAGAAGCAAAATCCTTCTCACCCATGCTCTGGCCCAGTGGTTTCCAAACTTCCTAAAGGCACAGAATGCTTTCATATCACTACTTCTGCCATGGAGCTCCTACCCCTATCCTAAAGACTGACATTGAGCCAAAGTGGTATGGCAGTGATGCCATACTGCCTCCCAAACTACTCCACCATAACCCAAATTGCTCTGAAGGCCCCTGATGATCTCCTGTGGAACCCCAGAATTCAACAGAACAGAGTTTGAAAACCACTGCTCTAGCCTCTTTATACCAGACCAAAGGGTCTTAAAGCCCTGTACCAATTCCTTCAGTGTAGATACTGCAAAAGATTGCTTTAAAGGGTGCTCACAGACATGCAGCTCCCCACTCTAACTCATGGCGCTTCACAGAAAGTGCCATGAGTTACAGAATTACAGCAACCCCCGCCCCCAACAGAGGTTCACTATTTGGTTGGGGCAGACAGTGGGTGAGAGGGGGAAGAAGAAATAAAAAGCTCCACTTCGGAGTCAATCCAGTGGAGACAGAATGCCTGCTTGCAGCCTTTTCCCCACCTCCCCACCCCCCAGCTCCAGTGTTGTCTGCAGGATAGGAGGGAGGGAGGGAGGGAGGGAGAAGGGAGGGGAGGCAGCTCTAGACTGGGGTTTGCCCTGCCCGAGCTGAAGGGGAAAGGGGCTGGGGCAGGCAGAAAGGCAGAGGATCTCCAATCCTCCTGCACATCAGCCCAGCTCCAATCATGCACAAGGACTAACAGAAATTAATGACGGTGCTCCACCTTGGAGCACCTTATATTAAACCTTCAAGGTTCAGATGATCATAGCATTGGGCACTTTCAAAGCACTCGGCAGCGATGCACTTCCATTAGGGCATGCCCTCCCTGAAAGCACCATACTGCCAATCATGTAGCACGTCACCTGTCAGCGCCCATAGTCACTATCCAAAGCTGCCTCTGTAAACCCCCAATATGAGGTGGCTGCAGTCACAGCAGGTGATACTGCTACATGTAAGGTATTCCAGGGAAATTCCAGAGAAGCTACTGTAATTTCAAGCTGCCCTGGACATGTGCCTAGTTTACCGTGGGAGCCTCTTTATCCCCCTAACAACAAGATACAAAAGGTGATTTGGAGTCACTTTAGCTGGGTTCCACTCCGGGATACTAGTTAAGTACCAGATGTGGCTCATATTCTATTCACACCGCCATAATTAATAGCCTGCTCCTGCTACTCTAAGATAACCACACTGCAAGCTTGCCCAAAGTGGTAAAAGTCTGGCTAACACAACATATCCTAGCTTCTCTAGTAACAAAAAAAATAAACAAATCACAGTGGTTCTCAACATTTTCTATACCATGGACCCACATTACCACATACAGAAGTTTCAGTGCACAAAAACTATTTTCCGCATATGCATAAACCCAAATACTTAGAAACACAACTTGACATCTAATTCGTTAAAAAGTGAGAGTAAATTTAAAGTCACTACACTTGCATGCACTCCCCTGCCGGAAGCTAGTGACTGTAGGGCTGTAGAGGTAATCCCAACCAATTCTAATCAGATAAAGCAGCTTCAATTTACAAATGGGAGAACAAAGGTGTGACCAAGGCAACAGAGTGAATTGAGGTGAGCTAGTATTCAGGAATTTCTATCCTGATTCCATACTGCTGCTAATGCTGTGGTTTATATTTTTCACTTGCCCCAGCTTTCCACACACCCTCTCTCCACACCAGTTCAGGAAGAAACAGTGTTTGTAAGCAAACTACTAAAAAAGAGAAAACACTTCTTGCCTCTCCCAAAAGGCAAAGGAACTACTAAAATACCCCAGAAATTGCTCCCAGCAGGGAACTCTTAACACCTCTTTGGTGCTATCCAGTTTTATCCTATAGGGCATTATATTAATTTTTTTCTCCTGTCAACACTAATAAATAGAGCCTAATTGAAAATTTCTACGTCTGGACAATGACATTAATGTTGCTCACTGAAAGGGAAAAAAATGTGTCTGGTACTGACTTTGCATGAACTGCACCAAGTACAAGTTTCTAAATAACAAGGGAACACCTTCATTTAAGAACAGGTAACTTGAAAGCCTGTCTACTATTAAACATTTAAAAGCAGACACAGCTCAGAAAAACAGCTCTGAAATTGGGAACAAAATGGTGCACCAACACTACAGCACAACAGTATGTGGACAGCAACACTCCCATATGCTGGCTCCTGCTCCAATTCAGGAGGAACTGGAAACTTACCATTTTCAGGCAGACTTCACTGAGCTCAAATATGGTTGTACTCGGGACTTTATGGAAATTGCTTTCTTTCAAGAAAGAAGTAGATTTTATAACAGACTAGCATCTGAAACAAGCAGTCTTCAAAAGATAGGTTAAGTATTTCCTAAGTGGTTCCTTACAAGAAACGTTGGCTCATTATCTTAATGCTTTCATTGAACAAAACTGTATACTTTTGATAAGCAAAGCAGAATGAGACAAGAAGAAATCAATGGATACAGAAAAGAGGGAGGGGTTTTTTCAAGCTTATTAAGAAGAAACTAAACTCTAGTAATAATATTACTCTATTATTAGATGGAAATGACAGAATGGACAGTAATAATTCAGAAAAGATAGATGTGATCAATAAATGTTTCTACTCTGGATTTGGGAAGAAATTAGATGCAATATTCATAATACTGATGATGAAAGTAACCACTGTGAAGAAACTAGTAAACAACATCTATTAAAATAGGCATTTTAAAATCAGCAACTCCTGATACTTTGTATGCCAGGAGCTCTCTGGACCATTAATATGGATTGTCAAAGCTGGGGAAGTTTTTGACTGCTGGAAGGAATTTAATATGATAATATTTCAAAAGGTTAAACAGAATGACTTGGATAGCCATCTAGTGATGTAAACCTGACATCACTTTCAGGCAAAACAATAGAATAAGTGACATGGGAATGATTTTACAGAAACTAAATGCTCTCAAACAACTTTACATTTATTTATTACATTACAAGTGATGTTAATGTAATACAATTCTAGAAAGGTATCTGACTGAGTAGTACATGACAATCTGATTAAGTAAAATGGAATCAACATGGCACAAGCTGCATAGATTAAAAGCCGATTAATGAATTAAATTCTCTGCTTACAATTCATTTTGAAACATCAAGCCAGTGTACTTCCAATGCAGAACTACCACCACAGCACTGTGATCAGAAGGGCTGAGGTCCTCAGAAGCTTAGAGCAGTAAATGACAAACAGTAGGGCATTACATTTCCCTCTATATTTGGCAGTGGCATGACCATTTCTGAATATAGTGTCCAGTTCTGGTAGCCATAATTCAAGGACAAAGTTGAAAGACTGGGAGGGTTCAGAGAAGAGCCAAAAGAACAGTTACAAGTTTGGAAAACATGCCTGATTATCAGGGATCTAGGTTTTCTGTTTCCTCCAGAAAAACACAGATTTCCCCCTTCGAAGCAGGAAAACACAAGTTTCCCCTTTTGCAAACAGCTCTCTGCAGGCTGGCACAGTGCCAGCTTGCAACAGCTACTTGCAAAGGGCAGGAAAGTCTAAGCCCTGTCCAGAGAGGAAGGGGCACAGCCTGAGAATGAGTCAGCCGGGGCAGGATCATACTCACTTTACCTCTTCCTGCTGCCTTTGGGGTAAATAGGACTTTTGGGTGCTGAGGGGCAGCTGGGGCCCTCCCTACGGAAGGGCTGGGGGGGCAGAGGGGAAGAGGCACTGTGAATCAGGCAAGAGTCATGCTACCAGGGGGGCTGGAGCCTCCAGGGAGAGCTGGCAGGGCAGGCAGAGGGCAAGGCAGGGCTCTGTGGGTGGCAAAATCACCCTGTCCTGAATGGCAAGCAGAGGCTGGGGCTTGTGCAGGCTTCCTCGTCCCACTGTGGCTCACCCCAGTTGGGCTGGGGCTGCTGCCCAGCAGTGGCAGCAGCTCAACGCAGGAGAGAGGGAGGGAGCAAGTGCATATTGCACCCCTGCCCACCAGGCCAGGCACCCTTGGGGCAAGGTTGGGGGCACTACCTGGCCAAGGCAGTGCCATCCATTGTGCTGGTGGCCACTGCCCCAATACTCACTGCAACGCTGCACCACATCCCACCAGCCTGTTGCCAGCAGCTGCCACAGCCACTCTGCTGGGACTAGCACTGGAGGTGGTGGGTGGGGGCACACTGCACAGCAGGGCAAAGGGAGGGGAGGGGAGCAGCACAGTTAGCCTGCTTGCTACCCTGCCTGGCCCAGAGCCTTGCTGGCCCCAGGGGAGGCTCATGGTCCCGGGAACCACTTGGGGGTTGCAGCAGGGTCTGGAGGGTGGGGGCACTTCAGGTAGAAGTGGCATCCAGAGCTGGGCCTCGAGCCCCGCTGTAAAAGGGGGAGGCTGGCCTAGAAGGGAAGGGGCTTGCACAACTAGAGGCAGGCCCAGCCCAGGCCCTGAGCCCCAGGCAAGGGGCTGCCAGAAAGGAGCAAGTGAGGGGGGCAGGCAGGAACTGTGGGTTGGGAATAAGGGGCACTGGCATGGGCAGGGCACCACATACCGGTGCTGCTCAGCATCACAAAGCAGCTGTGGGAACAGCTGCAGCTGGACCCGCGTCCGGGTGAGAGAAAGGGCCAGAGGGAACTGTGATTTTCTGTGATAAAAATACCAAAATCAAACACCAAAATATATAGGCATTTAGAATGTATTTTATTATAATGACTGAGGCACTGGTAGGCTTCCAAAATGCTTTAAAGTTGTAAATATATCAATAAAACATTGTGTTCATCTGATACACACACACACGTATATGTATACACATATACATACACACACATGCATACACACACACGTATATGTATATGCATATATGTAGAGGCCTTTCATTTAAAATTGTAGAAAAACACAGATTTGGGGGGATTTAGTCAGAGAATTTGGGATTTTTAAACAGAAAACCAGGATCCCCGCTGATCATAAGACCTGAGAAATGTTACCTGTTTAGCTTATCAAAGGCATGGTTAAGACACGATCTAATCATAATCTACAATTACCCATATGTAGAGTAGAAAACTGATAATAAGGCTCTTCAAAGTTAACAAAGATCCCAAAACTAGAAGATGAAAATTTGGGCTGATTTATATTTGTAAAAGTAAAGATATTGTAACTAGCCATTAGAGAACTTACCAAGCATTATAAAAGACCCCCTTATCACTGGAAATGTTTAAATCAAGATTGGATATTTTTCTAGAACAGGGATCAGCCACTTTTTCCAGCAAGCCAGAATGACCCAGCCTGGGTTCAGGACAGGCAGACGGTGAGACCCAGCCACCTCTGCTACTTACCCCTGCTGCCCAACTTTAGCATAGGGCAGAAAATGTGCCCCTTCAAAGCCCCAGGACCCAACTGCAGCACAGCAGGGAGAGCTCCCCACTGCCAGAGCCCAACTGGACCACAGGGTCAGATCCAAAAGCTCCACGGGCTGTAGGTTGCTGGCCCATACTCCAGATGTGCTCTACATCTGGTCTCTGGCAGGAGGTCAAACTAAACCACAACAGTCTCTTCTAGCTCTAAAAATCTATTATTTCACTTGCAACAGTGTTCCCTCGTTGATACACCAGTTCTACACTCTTACTCCTGTTGTTTACCGTTTCTACTTGTTAGTCTCATCTTCTTTGCTAAACTTTAAAGAGCAGTTAATGCCACAGAAGCACCTCATCTGACTCACAGGCAGGTGAGCCAAAGGAAAGCCCTGACTCACACTTTCACTTCAACCTCACACAATACTACATGCTACCAACTAAACACAGCACACGTGCACTTATGGAAAGGGTAGGACTAATGCAAGCAACCAAATTTGCTTATGGACTAGTGTCTGTACCTCAGATTAGTTTTGTTTGCTCTTAAAAAAAATAAATAAATAAAAGTGGTTACATGTAGTAACTGGAGACCTTTGAATGCATTTGCCTACATGGATCCTACGGTGGCAGTAAGCACCTCACATGTAAATCTGCAATTTTTAGCTTCCAGTGTCTATTGGGGCTGCACATGAACCCAACCTACTTTTATGTCCCCCATCCCAATGGTAACAAGGGCACACCTGTCCCAAGGGTCACTCAACTCTTTCACTAATAGAGACCGATCAAGGTCAAATATTCTATATCAAGGGAGGGGAGAGGGAGGTTGTAGAATCAATGAAGACAAGTTTCCTGGAAAAAAGACAGCTACTGAAAATTAAATCATCTCTTTCAATGCATTTATCCACATGGGTCCCTTTCCTCCTCCCCACCCCCCCATAGGGAAACTGACTCTAAATACTGAAACAGTGGATGAAAACAACTTTAAACAGAAAAAGAGAACTCCAAGTAGCCATCCTGCAAGTCAGAAGAATCGGGACTTTCCTAAAACCATCTACACACTGTAACCCAAAACGCAGTTTGTTCAATAGGAGACTTTCATGTGAAATCCACTCTAAGAGTGTCCTGGAGGCAGCAGCCCAATTGTTGATTTCTCATAAACAGTCTGAAAGCCCCAAAGAATTACTTTGTTCTAAAGAACGGAACGGATGCAGCTCTGAGAACATCAAGTATACGAAGCTTTTGCAGGAAGGTTATAAGACTTAAGGAAAACCAATATTAATAAACTCAGGAGACAGGTCCCTCTACTGCAGTAAACTGGAAGCCCAAACCACATTTTTTGTTAAAAAGTTCAGGTGGTGCTTAACTGCAATTTTACCATGATGTAGTTCTGAGCAGGGACGGTCTGCCATTGCACTTGCTCTACAAGGCAAGGTGGTTTTAAATCAAGGACAGAAAATTTCATTCAACTCCATTGCAGAAAAGTGTTCTCTTAACTGAGAGAAATAAACAGATCACTTTTATCAGAAATCCTGGTTGAAGTGAAGGGGAAGGCTAAAAAGAATTGCCCCCAATTTGCAAATGAAACCACTGATAGTGATCAAATGCACTCTACCTGAACCAAAGATCCCAAGTGCCCGAGAGAGAACCAAGAGTCCAATATCAGAGAAAGAGGTTCCAGAGGCCAAATTCACTTCTGAATGGTTTACAAAGAAAAATGATTCAATTTCGCCACGCAAACATCTCTATGACTGACTGGGAAATGCATCCCGATTGGGATGGCTTACAGAGGAAAGCTTCGTCTCCACAAGCAATGCACAACCATAAAGCAGTATTATATAAACACACAGGGCGCTTCTGAAAGACAGGACTCAGAACTGATATTTAAGAGCATTTATATACATCCTTTTTCATCCCACAGCGCGCCAGAGATCCAGCAGGTCAGGGCAGACTTGATTAACTGAATCCGCTCTGCATGTGCACTGCACCACTTGCAGTTGTCTAAGTAGCGAAAAGCACATCAGCGTGCAGAAAATGGCGGTGGTGAGCTTTCAAGCTAAAGCACCTCTGATGCGTTTTAGTTCAAAGGTGCACTGCTGCCATTTTCGCAGTGCTGATTTCCCCATTTATACAAGTGCAAACATCGCAGCACTGGGCACTTTTCAAAGCCCCACAGCTCTTGCATGTGTAAAAAATACCCGAAGTTTCTTGACCACTGAATAGCTAATTCATGTGAGATGCAAGGCTCTTTTTGCAAGGCAAAAAATCACAAACCTGTTCATGGGATCTAAAGAAAAAATAGTTACCCTTCTTCTTGCAAAGAAGTCAGAGGACTAATGAAGGACAACTCCTCCCTTTCTTCTTCTTCAGAAGGAAGTAGGAATAGGAATAGAAACTCTTGTTGCAGAACTTGGGAGACAGGTCCCCCTACTACAACGTACTTAGGAAAAGAGTTTTGCCACATGGTAAAAAGACAATCAGCAACTAAAATGGAAAAAAAAAAAAACTTAAGGAAATATTTAAAACTCTGATATTAAGAAACAGCAAGAGGTAGGCTACATACAAACACTTTTTCTACAGGTAGAATCACTGCTCTCCCAGTAGAAACCAGAAGTGTACAGACATTCAGGTTTTTCCTCCTGGAGCAGAAATGAGTGCTCCAGGAGAAAAATAACCTTGGAACAACCAGGGTCAGAGGTCTTTCCCAGGAGCGTTTCTACTGAGAGACTGAATGTCAGCACACTTTCCCTCCAGCTTAACTCCTCCTGGGGTCCAGAAGGGGAGCCAAGAGAAAGGCTCCCATGCCATCCCAACACCAAGATAACCCTAGTGTTGAGAAGGCCAGGGATGGGAGGGAAGGGAAGGAGGTAATTGTTCCTGAGTTCCCTGTAGACCGGGAGAAGGGAGAGGAGGGGTAGCCACCAACTGCTCCCCCTGCTTCTCACACCAGAGCTCCCCACTTCTCCCCTCACTGTCCCCAGACCAGATCTACCCTGATCATAGAAAGGCAGAAAGACCAGGGGTGAAGAGGCAGCTGCAGACTGAAGGTCTGTACTCTCAGAAGGACGTCTACTCCATGAAATTTCTGAGAAATTTCCCCTGGCAGAAATGAGCATTTTGCACACAGACACAGCCATGTTAGGCTGAAGTCAGGCAGAAGGCAGGACAGAGTAGCACATTACAGACTTACTTGTTCAGAAAATAATTCAGCCATAATTTATGACAAAAGGCCTGAAGATCCTACTAAGACATTAAAAGTTTTGTTAAGCCAGTAGAAATGCTCATTTCTTATTTAAATTACCTACTTTATTCAATCATCCTAGTTTCTAGAAGTCTACTATACTGTATCTATTGTATTTTTGCATTAGAAAGATCACATATGAACTCAGAGTCAGGAAAAATAAACCACTCCCTTATAACAGCAGGGAGAGCCTTCAAAAGGCAAGGTTCTTTCCACACAGAAATACCAGACTTTAAATTTACTAAGCATATTACAAGAACTCTGCGGTGTGCCTTAGACACCTAATATTATACTACACGAGTGACCTAACCTGGAACTATTCTTGAATATATTGTCAAAATCATTTCTTAAAAGGGAAAAAAAGCCTTACTCAAATATTTATTACGAAGAGGAAGTTGCCTGAAGTATGTGACTGTAGCTGCTGTTAAGAAAGTGAACAATTACTTCAAGAAGGTGCATCAAGCAAATCATTTACAATGGAAAAAACCTCTGGCAACCCCCGCAAACGGTCAAACTCTAGACTAAGCAGACCCACACTCCCAAGTGGCTCAAAAATACTTAAATAGTAGAAATAAAATACAGTACTCATTTCTCAAAAAGACTTTTCATAAGTTACCAAGGAAAAACATTTCAAAAGTAAGAAGAGTTAGTTGCAAAAACACAGTGACACATTAAAATAAGTTAATTCATAGTGTTATGAATTCAGGGAACCTGGTTTTCTCTGTTTAAAAGTCACAAATTATCTGCCAGTTATTCCCCACCCACAGCCCCCTGGGCCTGCCAGTGCCCCTCACACACCCCCCTCCAAACCCTCCTACCCCTGCCGGTGCCCCTTACACCCCACCAGGGACCCATCAATGCTCCTCACTCCCCCTGCCCCCCCCCAGTCCACTGGGCCCTGCTGTTGCCCCTCACTCTCCCCTGCAACAGCCCCCAGCTGCCAGGGCTACAGGGCAAGGGACCTAGGTCCACAGCCCTCTGCCTCCCCCAGCAGCACCCGAGCCCTGTCTGCTGCCTATGAGAGGCAGCAGCTGCTGCAGTCCAAGCAGGGACCATGCCCAACTCTCCCTCCCCCCGCGGGAGGCATGGCTGGAGCAGAGTCTATGGGAGAACACAGATGCAGGCTGGCCACTGCAGGCTCAGGCTCCCTGCCCTGCTACCCTCCCCCCAGGGGCCTCCACAGCCCAGCAGGCGAGACCCAGGGTGGCAGGACAGAACTGGGCAGTAGTGAGGCACACAACTGGATACCATCACCCCTGCTGCTGCTGGGCAGGCAGGGGACACCCTGCCATGGTGGTGCGGTTCTCCTGGAGGCAACGCAGAGCCTCCCAGCCCCGCTCTGCTTTGCCACACCCACTCCTCTGCTGCAGAGACCGCAGAGGAAGGGCAGCAGGGCAGGGAGCCCAAGGCCACAGCAAGCAGCCTACATCCGCCCCTGCCCAGCACACAAATTTGGGGGGCACATACTCCTCCCAGGAGTGCATGAAGTAGCAGAGAACCAGCCCACCTCCCCCCACACCCCCAGACCAGCTGCCCCTAACTCCGTCCCACTCCTCATCCAGGCCCTGCAGCTGTGCATTCTGGCCCCAGGCCCCACACAACAGCCCTGCTGAGCGCCCTCCCTCACTATAGGGGCCTCAATTCCCATACCCTCACCATCCAGACTTACCTGAGAGAAGCTGCTCTCCAGACTGCCTGGCTGCCACATTCATGTGTACATGCACACGTGCATGTGGTACCCTCTGCGTGATTGCCCTCCTCCCACTCCCTCTAGCCCCTGAAATGCTGCCAACCTGCAAGGGAAAACCCACCATTTATCATTTTTTCTCGTTTGAAGGAAAAAATCCAGGCATTACCACATTTTTCCGTGGCAAACAAAACCCAGATCCCTGGTTATGAATTTCAGCAAGAAATCACATATGTATTCACCTTTTTCGCATGGGTATAGAGGACTTTTTCCACCAAGTTCCATACTATATATTTTAATGAAAGCAAGCTTATCTTGTTGATAGCTTCTGAGACGATAGAGCCATACCATTTTTATTAAATTAATCTTGACCTAGAATGAAGAGAGACAAGATTTCCACCACAAACTGCTGATGAACACCCACTGAGTAGCACCTAAGGGTACCTGAAGACATGTGAGGACATGTGAGGATGCTTCTCCAAACACGCTCAATTACAGTGCATTGGAGCAGCCCCGATTAATCGAGTCTGCTAAAGTGCACTAATTAGAGCACTCCAGCAGCCTCCGCATCTCATGTACTCAGCGTCCCTGCACTTCAAAATGGTGGTGGGGTGCTTCAACTAAAGCTTGGTAAACAAGCTGTAGAGCACCCCCACCGCCAGTTGGAAGCACAGGGACGCTGAATACATGAGACACTGCGGGCGCTTTAATTAAAGCTCCAATTAAAGCGCCCTCCCCCATCCTCAGAGCATATGCAAAAATGCCCTAAATAATTACAATAGTAACAGCCACGTAAATCAAGCTGCAGTAGTACCGCCTAGCCAGATTAATTTTTGGTGGCTTGCCTACAGAAACGTGTTTATCATATATAACATGGGTGTGCATGCGTGTGAGAGAAAAAGAGATCACACATATGCCTGCACATTTATGTTATTTATATATAATAGGAATCCTACTAAAACAGACCTAGGAATCCCATAGGCTGGATGCTGAACAATTGCTGGAAGCTGGAAAGCATCTAAATGTGCAACAATTCATTTTATTAGTCATTTTTATTAATATTGGGGGCTCCTCAGACTTAGCAACACTTAAAATTTTACTTCCTCTAAACTATATTTAGTTGGGTTAGATACTCCTTCTATAATACATACCAGATGGACATTTTGGAGCAAAAACTGTCTGAGTGATGAAGCAAACAAGATGCTGCTTGCAGAAATACATTCACCTATTTCCTGTGATGAACCTATGTAACTACTCACCATTGCATTTTAATGAATCAGCAAGCAAATTACTTTCAGTAGACAAGCACGCATAATAGAGCAGCTTTTCACCTTCTCTTCTGTAACTTAATGACGCACTACATACAAACCCCAAACGCTCCGCAAACAATATCCACACACATTCATCATTGTTAGTGGAGTTAGTAATGCACAGTAACATGATCTTGTTCCACATAAGAATGTCCTATATAGCTGCAGGCTTTCTACTGCATTGAAGCTGCCTTGTCAGAGTGTCATAAAAGAACCAGTTGGGAGATGGATGCCAAGAGGCATGCTCACCAGCTGATTCCGGCTGACCTTTTAGTGCAGGCTGAAAAGTAAGGGGGACTACCCATCTTGGTGACAATCATCTCCAGGCTGACCAAATTTTTATCCCTCTAGAAAGGGAAAGTACCACTCTTCAGATGCAAGGTACAAAATCAAAGAAAGAACACTTAGTGCAGCAGTAGAAGTGCATATAATTGTGTATGTTTTTATCCCTCAAAACAGCAAAGCCATGCCATTCTGCAACATTAATAAAGGCACAGGTCAAAACCTGACAACATTTATCTCCAGTGTGCTCAGTTATAGAGTTTATACAAACACAAACCCACTGAGGGCCCATGACCAACAACTCTAGAATTACCTCTAAGCCACAGCAGCCAAAGGAACAGTAAATTTATTTAACAGGCTTCATGGAGACCACATAAAAAGAGAAATTTTAATTGGCAAAGTGCTTGTGATTCTGTAAAGACTGTTCATACATCACATCTACAGAGATCAGTGGCAGATATTTTTGAAAAAACTCCATTTTGCTAGAAGGAAAACCTAAACTCTGTAGCCAATGAAAATGTCTCGTTCAGGCTTTGGTTCTCACAGGAATAGGAAATCCACAGAGCTGCAGCCATTCAACATAAGATCTCACTTTAAAATTTGTTCCCCTGCTACTGGTTGCATCCTAAGTACACTAGACTCCACATTCTTTCCAGAACTTATACCACAGGGTTACTTTTTCTGGCATTACACCCAACTTAAAAGTGAAAAGAAAATGGGCAGTTTTATTCCAGTTTTAAACACACCAGGCACTTATACACATGCAGGGAAGATGTTCCAACATGCTGTCAATCCAGTGCATCAGAACAGACTCTGGACCACAGAAATTAATGTTCTCCAGCGTCAGTGTATCAGAGTTCCCGAAAGAATCGTAGCAGGGCACTTTGAACTAAAGCTTATCAAACAAACTTTAGTTCAAAGAGCCTCACCACCATTTTTTCAGCACGGAAACACAGACGCTTTTAACTAGCCAGGCTCGCTAATTAAAGGGCCCCTCCCCATCTCCCAAAGCACATCTATAAATGCCCGCAGTTCCCACTTTGAGGTCACAACATTTAATTAAAAAATAAATTTAAAAAAATGTGCCTATTTCATGCATCTTTCTTGTTAAATAGAAACAAATTATTCCTATTTTAGCTGAGTCATTCTACATCTAATGTCTTAATTTTGTTTTAAAAAACAACTTCTGCTTTTCCAGTTATATGAAGGGGGCTATTGGGGGGAAAAAAGCCACGCATCTAACATCAGTATTCACAGCACCACTTATTCATGCTTGTTCACGGCATTTACATTAGATGAGGAAACTGAAAATTGAGTAACACATTCATCAGCAACAGTTCATTAAACAAGTATGTTTGCTTTAACAAGGAATGTCCTGACCCTGCAAGCTCAAGCTACTTCATGCAGGTGGAATCCTGCACCTGCACCAACCCTGACAGAAGTAAATGGGGCTCTGCTGGGAAACAGCAACCTCTCCTTCACGGCACATTGGAGTATGGGACCTTAACAGTTAAAAGAACTAAAGCATTCCCGACTTCTGTGAGTCATTAGCAAACTTCCTCGCAGGTATTTCCAGCCAGACAACAGCAACAGGACAGCCAAAATACACTTTCATTTATGAATATTGTAACCTGTCCAAAACTTGACAGAGCAACCTAATATGGATTTATGCCTCCAAAATATATTAATCCAAAGGCTAATACCAGGAAGACTTCCAACCCAACCATTCAAAAAAAAAATAGTGCTCAATGAAATGTGAGCTTGGCAAAATACAACAATCATGAGTCTAGTTAAAATTCTATCACGAAACCATCACAAACCTTATATTTGAAGATCTAAGCTTATTTTAACAGTAGGCTAAAATCTGGCACGTGTCCTGACCTCAGTTATATTCTGGCTGGTTTTAAAATAGTCCAGTTACTGTTTATAAATAAAACTGTTTTAGAATAACTAGTCAGTGGTGTTTTAACTGCAGATACTTTGCTATACTTAAATTAAAAAAAGAGATTTTGATTAATTATGCTTTGGATATTTTTGGAGTGGCACGCAAAAAAGGGTATTACAGTACTTCAAGCTGAGAAATATGCAAAAGAGTATTAAAATAGCAGCACTTAAGCACCCATGTTCTTTTCTTGCATATTCAGGCAGAACAACAATGAAAAAAGGACCAATTTTAAGAAAGTCTTTCCATCCTACCAGGATGTGTCCCCTCAGGAGGAATTCCTCCATATTCTGCAGACTAAGAATGTGCTAAGAGGTACAGGAAATATGAACTTCCACTTCCACCAAGAAGAACTTTTACAATTTTTTCTCCAATGCCTGATGAAGGGTGTTTGTGCCCAAAAGCTTGCAATGAAATAATTTGTTTGCAAAAATCCTGTTGGTCTAATAAAAGATATCATCTCTACTATGAGTCCGGATTGCCTTTTCCTCTTGACCAACACAGCTACAACCTGGATGTTTAAGTACAGGTTAACTCATATAAATCGAAGAGAAAAATTATTTCCAAGCTCAAAGATCAGATTAATACAATGGGGCTGGGAGAACCAGAGGCCTCAGTTCAGATCAGGACCCCACTGGTGTTTGCTAGTACCCAATCACGTAGTTAGCAGTTACTGTTCACACAAAGAGTTTGTACGACAAGATTGGCGGGGAAATGCTCACTGTGAAGTGGAACGGATACAGGGCTGTCCAACTGCCTAGGAGCCAAGGCCTGCATGCTCCCCCACCTCCCACCCTAGCTGCACTTCATGTGGACCCCCACCAGGATGCAGCACCACACGGGAACCCCTTGCTGTACTGTGCAGCAGGTGCCCTGCCACTACACTGCACCACCATCTCCACCCCCCACCCGAACTGTGCTGCAGGTCCCCTCCCAACCTGCACCCAGCCCTGTGGTGCAGAAGTCTGGCATGATGCAGAATCCCCAGGTCCTCCAAGCCCCCTGGCTACAGGCTCCCTCAGCTGCTCTGTGTGGCACTGTGCCACCCCACCCACGGGTGTGGGGGCAAGAAGCAGAAGCTGAAGAAGGGAAGGGGAGCCTGGAGATTCCAGTGGCAGCAGCACAGGTAACTGAAGCAAGGAGGAGGTGGCATCTCGACCAGGAGCCCAGGGACAGCAGCTTACCCTCTTGTAAGCCGCGTGCAGCCCACAGGCCACCAAACAGAGAGCCCCATTCTAATACATCAAGCCAGTGGAAGAAGTTAGGACCCAAACACAGGTCTCCAAAGCCTCAATTCAAAGACTTATTCGCTAAACAGTGCATCAGGGTTCTACTTATTTCATAAGGACTAAATTAATTTAGTTAGCTGAGACAAAGGATGCAGCTAAAAAAGAATCTCTCTGCTTTCACTGCTTTAAATGAGGCGTGAATGTGGCCACTGACCATCATCACATTCCCAGACCAGTCCCATTCAACAGGCAACTATGTTTTCTTCACAGAAGCAACTCCAAGGTGCACAAAAATACCTTTGGTTCTCTCTCTCTACTATCATGGAATTTCACAGATTTCCTAGACATTAGGGCTGGAAGGGACCTTGCGAGATCATCGGGTCCAGCCCCCCCCCCCAAGTGGCAGGAATTTCTAAACTCCAATTTATCACATAGCCTTTTCCCTTCAGGACATTATATCATCTTAATGAGAGTCTGATATAATAAAACCAAAAGTTCTTCTATTTATAAAAGAGTGATTGCACAGTCTAATGGATAAAGTACAGAATAGGAGCTCAGAAAACTTCACATTCTTCCTACAGAATCTGGCTGCTAAACACATTGTGTTAGATGAAACATTTAATTTTTCTGCTGCTCTTTCTGCTGTGACCTAGAATAGCAGAGTTGAGTAAAATTAAAGTTGTTATAACTGCACAACTAAATATGACCAAAAAAAGGCTCATGCCTGCACGATGTTAAAGATCAGTTAGCATCACTGAAATTTCAGATAACAGTCTGCATATGGTACAAAACTATGCTGCCAGGTATTTACTGTAGTAGACTGTCAACATGTCACTTGCCACAGGCAATCATTTATTTAACCGACTGATAATCAGTGTATGAGTTCTTAAAAACGGTTGTAGCAAATATAAGAAATCAGGCATGTAAACAT